AAAATATGATAGGTTTAATGGGCAAGAAAAACTGCACCAGATGAGTTACTGCATAATGGATTTGGTAGTGGGCCGATTTGCGGTCTTATCGTCCCCCGTCCTTTATCTCATTTCTCGATATATCATCGACAGTATCAAGGAATAAGTTGCAATATTTGTTGATAATAATAAATTAAAGACACACCTATTATCGGATTTATATATTGAACACGAACAGTTTATCATTCTCCTTGACCACCTTGCTGTGGGAAAACATATTTACATATAAACTATCACGACATACAACACCATTCCATGCATTTGGATGCAATGACTGAGTCTACTGTTTTTCCTAAACGGTTTTGCATCTCCGTTTATTTTTATGCACAACATTTACTGTCTTTTCTCTAGTCAAAATTCAAATATAATGTTAGATATTTGCATTGAATGAGAGATACATCCGTTTTTCGTACAAAACATCGTTCTCTAGCACTTTTTCACGATATCTATTTCCCTTTGAATCTTTCTGAGTCGCTTTACATATACATAAGATGGTTATGTAGGTTATAACTAAGAACAATATGCTTATTTATATTTTCGATGTCTCTTTTCAAATGAAACTACAAGCAATGATAATTATTTAAAGTAATACTGTAAACTATATCTAAATGAATGACATGTAATCTAATGTACAACTCATCTTTATCTTTTTTTATCATCGTGTTGCTTGCTGTATATCAGTGGAAGCTGTTGATTTATCATTTTGTACATATGTAATATAATAGTGATCTCTAATGTAAAATGGTACTTTTCTTTCTATTTTTGAAAGTGTTAAGAGATCAACAAACGAGCCGCGAAGATAAGAATGACAAACAATAGAGCTATGAGTTCGAAGGTACAAAAGAATGAAAAAAAAATTTTAATCTATTTTGCATGCAGTAAACATGTGGTTAAAAAATACAAACTTTACAATTCTGGCGTATTTGTTATTTAACCACGTATGACAGTCCAAAAGAACAGTATCTTTTTTTATTTTCTTATCCATTCTTTTCGACTACTGATAACTAACTGTAGCTATATTAAATAAAAACAAGAGAGACAGTTTATATTGGCCACGTTTTTCGTTTCTACTTCTCATTCACAGTTCAACTGGACAACGTGTTGGCGTCTTCTTTGCTTCTTCTCTAAACGCTAGATTCATTTAATCTTAGGAAAGTTTATTCGGAAATTATTCTCATTTCTTCTCTCTTTAAAAGTAAGTATGTTTTTTTTGTTAACAAAGAATATCACAAAGGTAATAGCAAAATAATTTTATGAAAGAAATTATTAGCCGAATCAGTTCAACGGAATTATACTTTGATGTCCGCTGATATATGTTTTATTTTATTTTTTTATCAAATATCAACTTATTTGCGAGTCAGTTTAAGTTATTTGATATTGGGTACTTCTTATCGTGTTCACGATCGTCTTAATTCTGTAGTTTTCGATTATAAGTCGTAAATATTCATGAACAGAAGAAATTGCTTTATTAGCATTAGCCGAGTTTTATTAAAGAAATAATTCTGCATAAAACGAAGGCATGAAACACGATAAATCACTCACTATTCGATACTTGACTGATGCCTCTGTACCATCGATCCAAAATCAAATACTATCCTCGTTCTGGCACAGGTCAATACAAATCCTACAAGATTCTCACAAGATCCTACTTTAGAATCCTATAGGATTCTACGAAAATCTTGTAAGACTTTGTAGAAAAGCTCAAAATCAAAAAATTCTATTGTAAGATTTTTATAGTCAGAACTTGTAGAATCTTGCAAGATTCTATTGTAGGATTACAGTAGAATTTTATCTGATTTATTCTATGAGGTTTATTGTTTTTACTTGTTTAATTATTCTTTGATCCTCCTAGCTAGTCAGGAGCAAGTAATTCGGAGCTGGGATAAGTCCAAGACGAACGTGTGAGTGCTGACTCACATGTCGTCGAACAGTAGCGAGTTTTTATGTGTTCGGTGCGAAAATTTAAGCCTAAAAGAAATTTTCATTTTCTACAGTCGAGTTGTATTTATATTAGAATAACTACAAAACACATTGATCACAAAATTGTAAGAAATGCGTAAAGGAATCCGTCGTATATCGAGAATTCTACAAAATTCCTACTATAGGATTTCATAGGACCCTACAAAAGGAATTCGATGAAATCCTATTATTAGTTAAATCGTATAGGATTTTGTAGGATTGTTTGACCTGAGTCTTCCCTCTATCATTTTTCAAAGTTAACATTTCGATTTTGTTAATATTTTCAAACTTTTAAGATTCTTTTTAAAAATGACATAACTCGATAATAATATATTGTATTTTTCAATCACATAATGCCTGGTCGAGTCAGCGTTAATAGCTCTTCTCCATAGAAAAAATGTGAAAATATTACGTGAATCGGTTGAACAAAGGTTATACTTCATGTACAATAATTTATATGAAACTATTACCTATAATCGAGAAACGTTACTCAATGGTAATATTTTTTCATCGTGATAGAAGATTATCTGCGAGATTAATAAGATTTTTCATATAAGATATTTAATTTTAGAATTTTACAATAACTTATTGAAAGAAAAAATGATAAAATCTATGAAATAAATTTTGAAATTTGAATCTCGAATGAATACATATTTTTCCAGGCATTATAATCTGTAATTTGTAAGAGATTTTTTGATGAAAGAATCTATAAAATTGACGTATACGTTTGACCTTGATATTTCAACTTTAAGTCAAAAATGTCATCTAAAATGAAGAGTTCAACACTTTACTACGCCATTCTAAAGGAATAATTGATTTTAAAAACCATATCAAGTTATATTTAAATATTTTATTTACTTTTTCTTTTTAGCATTCAAAATGTCTGAAGCATTTGTAACATTAGCCACGACAGATGGTTATGCACTGGGAGCACTCGTTCTCGGTCAGTCATTACGAAAAATTGGAACAAAGAAGCAATTGTGTGTCATGATAACAGATCAAATTTCCGATTTATTACGGTGAGAGAAAATTGTGAATGACAAGATATGAGAGAGACTTTGTTGGTTTTTTTAGATCAAATTTAGAATCGACATATAATGAAGTTGTTCGTGTGAATCTTCTCGATAGTCAGGATGCTGTTAATCTCAGACTGTTGGAACGACCAGAATTAGGCGTAACATTTACAAAATTTCATTGTTGGACATTAACACAATACCAAAAATGTGTTTTCTTGGATGCTGATTGTCTTGTATGTCTTATAATTTATTCATTTTCTTCTAATTATTACTTTTTTCATTCGTATAGGTAATGCAATCTGTTGATGATTTATTTGAACGTGAAGAATTTTCAGCTGCACCCGATGCTGGATGGCCAGATTGTTTTAATTCTGGAGTGTTTGTTTATAGACCATCACGCGATACATTCAAACAGTTAGTTCAATTTTCAATTGAACAAGGATCATTTGACGGTAGGAAACACTTTTCATTTTGAGATATGAAAAATTGAAAAAATTTTAATATAAATATTATTATATTGTACTGTACTGTACTTAATACTGTATAGATAGTATTTTCGTTCTATCATTCAGCGTCAAAGTTCAGACAAAACTTATTTGTGAAGACTATCTACTTGTAGAGCAAACACATCGATAAGTTTATAGAAACAATTAGAGAGAATATCATTGATAACAGTACAGTGGAAGTACAAAATACATTCAAGTGCCTTTATTTTAATATGTTTTTCCGATTTATAATTCTGAGAGATGATTTTGAATTAAAAGAGATGCGTATGAAAAATCCATCAAAAATTGAAAGAGAATGGATCACTTAAAAACTAATACTCGGTATTCAATTGGAAATCTTTTTCTAAGAAACATTTCGAGATAAAATAAGACATTTTTTTGAAGCGCTAAGAGATGTTTTTCATCAAATTACTTTCGGTTTACAAGAGCAATAAAATCAACGGAAAACCCATCCAAGGATCTTTGTATGATTTGAGAGTAGTCTGATGAAAAACGTCATCGAGAGCTAGATATAATGTGTTATATCGTTTGAACATTTTTATCGAAAAAAGTTCTTGATTGATTACCGGATTGCATTTTTTCTGAGTAAAACACACACACTTTTATTGAGTATTGATATCAGTCAGGTTTTAAGTACCTGCGTCTTCAAAACCGACAAAGTACCGCTCGGTCACCGTTCACCCTAGACAAACATTTTTGGGTATTTTTAGTAAGTTTCTTATCCCAGTCTTATCGGATTCTTACATAAGAAGTCCGCATGACAATGGAAAGATTTTTATACGAATCCTTTAAGAATTAGGTAAGATTTAAATAAGAATGAGCTATGACTTTGATAAGACGCTTCTCTCACTTTCTTATGAAATTCTTACTAAACGCCAAATCATCGTTTTGTTTTGCAGAAGCAGATACTATATCAGCATCACTGATTTCTTGAAAATGTTTTGGAAGGTTCTTCAAGGTGGGAAAGACTGATCGTTTTGAAAATACTTCGCGATCTCTTACACACTCACTAATGAATTATACATAAGCTAACGAAAGAAGGAAAAGAAACATTGGAAGTTTTTGCCCTTCTCTTGTCGAAATTCTTCCAGGATTCTTAACTGATCCTTATCTGCTTTTTATCAAATTCTTGTCACTTTCGTGCAGACTTCTTATGTAAGAATTCAATAAGAATCTAATACAATAAGTTTCTTATCAGATTCTTTTGTCAGAATCAATCACCAGGCCAGTATCTCGCCCGCTATATCGGTACCAAAATCGAAATTATCGCACGGTAACCGTGGTCATCATTGAGTTTACTGCCGGTATAACCAGTGGTATCGTCCGGTATTTTGTCATTATGAACAAGTAGAACGCGAGTTCGAATCTTGTTTTCAACCGCCGTTTTCTTTGTTAAGCGTTTGTAAGTGTGGAGACGCTTTTGAAATTTGTCTTCAGTCGCAATTCAAACTTTGATCAGTCTATATGATCTAAAAGAAAAGTTTAATCTGACAAAAAAATCAAGTTTTTGGATTTTTTCTGTGTTTCTTATATCTACTGATGGGTACAAAACAAAACGGTGAACATATAAAAACGGCTACTGTGCGATATTTTTCTGTACGGTGGTCTAATAAATTACTGTCGGTTATCCATGTGGTATGCCAAGCGATACGGTTAGCCGACGATATTTTTAACGAGAAGACTCGACATGGATACAGTAGCCATACCACCAGTTTCAAGATCCAATAGAAATATCGGTATTATGAACCTTGTTCTGAGATTTTTGCCCACATCACTCTTGATTGTCAATTTTTTTTCAGCAATACAAATCACTTTTGTATTTCTTTTGGCTATTTATGATCAAGAAAAGTAATTGATACTAATTCAGATAAATTTTGAACACAATTGAATACGATTTATAGAGAAAACATTTGTTTATCATTTTGAATCAGAGTTTAATACAGTGGTTGTTTCCTTAAAGAGAAATGTAGAGATTTTTTGTGGTATATAGGTCACACATTGTTTTTAAACTTCCAATTCTTCAGCAAGACGTCTTTCTACTATTTTTTATCGGCACTGCCTATTTAGTCTCTAAATGTATATGTTGTTTTTCTCATACCGTGTTATTCAATTTTAAGTGATCTTTTCATAAAGTATATTATAGTTCTATTTATTTATTTAGGTGGTGATCAAGGTCTATTAAATAAATATTTTTCATCTTGGTCTCATGCGGACATAAGTCGTCATTTACCATTTACATATAATGTCACATCAAACACATTTTATTCCTATGTGCCAGCTATCAATCAGTAAATATAATCTATAAATATCACATTCAATGATAATTAAACACTTCTTCTTAGGTTTCATTCTGATATTCGTATTGTTCATTTTGCTGGCAGTTTAAAACCATGGCAATTAACATACGATCCTCAAACAAATAATCTATCTGGCGGCCATCATCAACCCACTGAACGCAATTTTCTACTTAAATGGTGGCAATTAATGTATGAATTAGTATGGCCCGGTTTATCAAGTACATCAAATACGGTATGTGGAATTGAACGACTTGTTTTGTTCAAAATATTTCTCTTTCTTTTTTTTAGTCGTCGAGACCATTAAGTCAACAAAATAATCAGGTAAAATAATATGAGTTTTCTAGATAAGTTAGTATTTGTGAAGTACGTAAGTGTAAAACTGTCGAAACTTTTATGATAAAAATAAGAATAAATGTTTTGAGCATACGGTAAGATTTGAATGTGAGACGCTATATTTCGTAGGAACGACTGAGATTTTAGATTTTCACCGAACGCTTATCAGTTTTTCAAAATCAGTATTCTTTAGAGCTGTAGAAATAACGTAACTCTTTAAACCAGTGTTAACGAAAAAAAATGTTTCAGTAGTGAAAAATCTTATTTTTTGAACTAAACTTAATGGCTCTGCAACTATCTCATTCTGTAGTGAACAGTCGACTTCAGTTTATACCTTTTCTAGTCATATGGACTCTTCATAGTCATGAACTCTTGTCCTTTAATTAACACTTTAAAATTAATATTTGATTCACGAATTGACTTACATTGGATCTCACTTGATAAATGATGATTTGTGTAACTCAACAACGTGCTGGGCAAAATATTGCAGGATAACGAGCTATCGTTTGTCGAATAATAGCTTAATTGATTGGTCATTTAGCATTGAATAGAATAGATCTGCTAATAAAATTTCTGCAAAATAGTAGTAAGCTTTACTTTAAGTCTTAACTTTCTTTTGTCTAAAATTACATGAAAATAGTCCGATAATTCTTTTTTTGCGTCTTACAACGAAAGCATGACAGTACTTCTTTGTGGAGACAGTGTCGAACAACGTTCATAGAGATTAGTTTTAAAAAAAAACAGTAAAAAGATGCATTAGTACGTCTGATAGAGTTGAGCCACACATTTCACCTTTCTGTTTATGTATAGCATGGTATTGGTTCACTGAGCTATGGTGCACTAATGCACGATATTGAAGCCGGTTCAACAGCTCATCGTCGAGCGTGGGAATCGGGTTGTGTTGATTATGGTGGACGTGATTCGTTCATTAATATTCAAAAACAATTAGACAGAAATATCGCCATGACACCTCAAACACACCAACGTCCCCTATCAGTGGCCACCTCGAGACAACAACAGCCAGATTCAGCAGCCAAAACGATACAGACAAATGATAGTGCGAAACGAAAAGTAGAATCTACTCGACAACCAGGTACGTTTTAGATCTAAGAAAAAGCGTGTCACGGGAAGTGCTTACAATAATTTTACTTTCTAATCTAGTAGGGAACACAAAATATTTCAAATTTTTTAATCTTAAAATTTTTCTATTTCTGCGAAAACTTGTTCGTTGGTTCTGAACATTTTCTCACATAGGTAATTCAACGTGCTCTACAATCTGGGCAGTGTCAAAATATGTTCAGCTGGAGGTTCATAGTGGGTCTTTGAACACTCGGATTCCAGAGATCCATTCCAGAAAGTCCTGATAGCAGAAACGGATACCGGATCCGTGATCAGTATCAAAAATTATCCACAATCATGTCTGTGTTAAGGAAAAAGCGATTGGGCACTTGGGAAGGTTCCTTCGTTAGAAAATTAATCTTTTTACTGACATATTTTTGAAGCATATTGAGAGAATGAGACTGATAGTAGAACACTGTGAGAATTAAAAAGCAACGTCGATCACATCTGGTATATTCAGAGTAGATAAGGAATTTCGGTTAATTCCATGAAGTTGATTGTCACTGTTATTAAGGCGACAGGTATAGATTTCACAAGATTTTGATTATTTTTTCAGATAACCATGAAAAAGTTGAACGTAAAACGAGTAGAGCCGCTGATATCCTTCTGGGTCCAATTGAAGGCGAGAGACATCATGGCGAACAAGAGTCCGTGGTTCACAGTAAAGATCAAAAAGTGTACGCCGTTGTAACTGCACCACCTCCCAGCACGACCGTTGCCGCTGAAACACATGTTACTCATAAAACGAAAGAGTCTACTCACCCACAACCACGAAAATTATCAACTTCAACAAACGATGAACATCAAAAAGTTGAACGAAAACTAAGCAATACCAGTTCTACCAAGGAAAATGTTCCTGTTCGCTCGAATGTAGTATCTGACAAAAATGTCATTTTAACAACGACAAAATCAGCATCGTCTATTACAACCACGGCTATCCATGGAGAAGCTATAATTCAAAATGTCAAAGAAATAGTCCCGACAACTACTCTTACCACCATGGTAGCAAATAGCGGGTAAATATTTGTATTCCCTAGAAATAATACATATACACGACAAATCAAAGTCGAAGATAGTCTGCTTTTTAAATAATACTGCAGGTGAATTGAAAACAACATATTTGCAATCTAATACGGTTTCGAGCCTTAAATGAAGGATATGAAAAGACGCTTTTACATCGTTAGTAAGTTTAGATCTCAGATGTCCGATACTACTCAAGACTCATGTTAAAATTACTCTGCATAATTAGAACGCAGTTTAGCGTTGAGTTGCTAAGTTGAATCAAATGAAACGAGGGCCGAATTAGATCTTGCCACAAAAGAAACTTTTCATGATTTGTTTCAATGATTTTTCTATTAAATATTTCCCAAGAAGCATGTGACGTTAGGTATCATGCATAGGAATCGAGATTTAATTTTCAACAATGAAGGATCAATTGTGTTATTCATGGCAGTTTTAGGTATAACAGAGTTTCGACGTTTGTATACAGATTTTCGTTCACAAATCATTTTTGATTTAATTTTGACTTTTCTATCTCAATTGCGATAACAAATGATTAAATCTATGTGAGATACTACAATACACAAAAATGTGTGTATAAGCGTCGAGACGTTGCACAAATTGCTAAATATTAAAAATAATTAATTTTGGTGAAAACCGCAGCGCAGATCACTACTAAGTCTTAAAAATAAGATGTCTGAAAGCGCTTTTATTGTTCATGTTTTCTGTGAAATCGAATGAGCTTAACACATTGGCGGCAATGTAGGTCACCTATAGTACTCTTCAAAAGCATCCTCCTCTCGTAACTCAAGAACCAGGATAACTAAAGACTTCTAATTTTGTATAGATATAACACTCACTGAATGCTGATCATCCAATAAGTTTAAACCTCTTTTACTGGATGGTTCATGGTATATAAGCGTTTCATTTTTTTCCCGTAAAATGCTATTAACTCTTGATTCAAGAGAGAACTTGAAAACTTTCTCTTTTACCTAAAATGTAGACATTTTTGACTCTCCTCTATCTACACTATGAATTTTCTTTGCTGGTTATTAATAGTTACTGAAACGCAGCTCTCTTTCACGATCGAGGATCACTTTTGAAATATGCGGTTCTTTCTGAAAAAAATTCATAACTCAATCTAGAACATCATTTTGAAACATATGTGGGGACATGAATCTGAAGAACTAAGGCTCGACGCATACGCATACATTACGAATATTACACGGTACTCTAGAAGGTAATTTTGTAGTTCAACAGAAATAGTTTTCGACAGTGTCCAATTTCGAGTAAAAAAACTTTGACACTGTCGAATTTCGAGCGAAAACTTTTCGATAGATTTCTCGCTCAAAATTCATACAATACAATGGACGGAACGATAAATTGCTAGCTGCAGCTAGCTAACTACACCATTTTTACTCTTTTAGTTAGCTGCTTTTTCTGGAAAAGCGTTCGCCCCTTAGCAAACGTAGCTAGCTATTTTTTCGTGCTTGGGTATAGTTTTCTTAACTATTTATTGCATTTATTATGAGATTACGACTAGTAACACTGCGAGTCGCGTACGGTCGACTAGAAACTGATTCAGACTGAAATATATTCCTCTTTCATTCACTGGGATATGAAACATCATACATCACTTCACAAAATCAATTTTAATTCATCATTTAAAAGAAAACTTGCATTTAAATATCGATTATTGAATCTTAATTTGTTTAGATCAATGGCAGGCACTGCTTTGAATGAACATGATATTCAAATGTTACCTAAGACTTTGCCAACGGCCCAGGGCGAGTAAGTTTCAACATTGATTTTTTAACGGTTATTATAGCTTTGTTTATTTAGTTTATCACTTGCTTACGTAGCAGAATGGCCAGATGTAAACGCAGCAACGCAACTTCAAACTCCAGTCAAACAGCAAATAACTAAACCAGCATCAATACCATCAAAACAAAAAAAATAAGATATTCTTCTCTTCTCAAATGGATTCGGATGTACATGGATGTGTACGTTCGACGATATTTCTTTTTCATTTCCGGTTTAAATGTTTTAATTAGATGTTATGTGCTTATATGTTAATTGTTTCTTTTTATTATTTATTACACTAGCGATATGATAAAGAATATTAAACAGGCATAGAACGTTTGTTGTATTTTACTGTACAATCCTGATCATTTTCTCAGCTTGAATATTATAGCTAGAAAATGTCAATTTTTTATAAAGACTAACAGATGGCTCTTCAAATCTGAGTTGCTCGCTAGATTTTACGATATATGTTGATTTGTACATTTTTATAAGAAAGTCTTTTCTTACTGAAGTTATTAATGACGAAGGGCACTGTTCCTATGTGGAATACTACAGTACTTATTATTTGATCGAGCTTAGAGAGTAAATGATGAATACAATTTAAATTTTTTGAGAAAATTGTGGCAATAGAAAAGACCAAAAATATTACAGAATATTAGTTGTTCAATTCTAAGATCCGAGATCTATTTTAAGTGTAATAATTGAAGAGCAATTCAGCGAAGAATTCAGATTATTTCTGGCTAAAATGAGAGGGACTGGATTAATGCTCATAATGACTAGGAAAAAGTAGAAACGAAAGAATTAGATGTTGTTATGGATCAATTATTGTGTTATTATATATTAAATCATTATTTTGTAAAAAAATACATTTATTTTAAAACATTTCAGATCGCCCAGGTAATGCCGCTAGCTTCTAGCTTTCCAAAAAAACAATCCATGTTCATTTTATTGCTTTTGTTTTTCAAGCCTTACGCTCAGTTTCGAAACTATTTATATATTGTGTAATTCTAAGAGAAGCCAATTTTCTCTAAAATTTGAGCAAACAGCGAGGATATCGGAGTTTTATTAAAAAAAATTTCAGTTAAAAGGAAAGTTCATTAAAATTTTCAATTAAATTCTTGTACCATCAAAAACTCCAGGTCACAGTCATTTTGCAGGAGATATTTTAATGAAAGTCCCGATACTTTCATTAAAAAAACGCTTTAATGTGAGTCATCCAACCCGAACAGCGGCCTGCTAGCAATACAGTATAACAACAGGATTTGACAAAATGCAATCGTACTGCTTCACTAAGTAATTAAGAGAGATAAATAGATGAGAAACAAATCAGTCAAACACTTTGGATAGAATATAATGCCTGTAATGCTCTAATCTTAAGTCTTTAATCTATTCCCTTTGTCTATGTTTTAAAAAGAATGATATTAAAAAAATTAATATTTATTTCTGATCTATTATTCACCTTAACCACACGATTCCAATGTTAAAGTCTTATTAAGACCGAAATATTCAAAAAGCTAATAATCCAGTAACCGTTCTATTTTAGCGTCATCTTTTTTATTGACACCGTATACATGGTTTGTTGATTCATTTGAAAACTATTTTCATTATCGAGTTACATATATTTTAACCAAAAATTAGAAAATTCATAACTACATCAAAATTGATGCAAACTACATCAGAATATTAAGATGTACTCTACATAATCTGCACTATATCATGGACTTCAATAAAGCTTCTAAAAAGCAATTGCGAATATCTTGGTTTCGCACAGGTTTCTCTGGCAACTTCAGAAGATTTTTAGCTAAAAGTACATCTTGGTATTCTGATGTATCTTGCATTGATTTTGACTAAGTTATGAATTTTCTCATTTTTGACGAAAATAGGTAAAAATGGGATATTTCATCATTCAATGTTTGCCTATTTTCATTCAACGTTTTCTTTCTGAAAAAGGTTGAGAGATCTAGAAAAGCAAACGTTGCCACGAGATTCAGCGTTCCATTTTGTAGAGGACGTTCTAGACTATCTACTCATGAAAAGAAATCAGTATTTTTCTAATGTAATTTTTGGAGTTCATGAAATTATTTTCCAAAGACCGCATCGAAAACCGATTTTTGTGCATGCTCTTCATAAAGATGGTGACTATTGGTGGTTAAACAATTATCGACCTATAACTGTTCTACTTTTCGCTTCATACTATCTATACATATGTTTTACTCTTTCGAGTATACATCTTTGCTTGTTTTTTCGGTACTAGACACTCCTCATTTTGGTAAGGCGACACGTGACCATCACATTCATTCTCTTTGTTGTCCTTTATGCTCAATATTTTTCTCTGTTCATACAAACGTATATATTGTGCATATCATCTCTCTCTCTCTCTCTCTTTGTTGGTCGATACTTTTCTTTTTCAAAAAAGTGATAACTGTTATATTACTATCTCTCTCTCTTTTACTATCTGTCGGACGTCCCATACTTTCCCGTTTTCTTTTCGTTTAGAAATGAATTTGACATTATCGTGAAAGAAAGCCTTTTTCAAATCGAGATTAGTGCGTATCTCTTTTATCTTCAACTTCTGTTCTACTTATGCTTTCTCTCTCCGTCGTCCAAAGAAAATCAGTTGATGCTATTCTTTTGGAAAAAGCAGTTATCAAAGAGATGATGTCACTTTTCTACCGTGTTTCTTTAAAGATATACAAAAAGATTGCAATTTTTGTTTTTGTTTGCAAGCACGCACAATGTAGAGATCTTTATTTCTGTTAATCATGCCTGTTTTCTCTGAATTTTTAAATTATGCTTTTCAAAAGAAGAATCGAGTCCTAACCGATTAATTTCGACAAGTGATCAAAAACTCATTCAAAGATACTAATAGTTTTTGTTCAAAACAGTAGTTGTAATGTACATATATTTTAACACATATATTTGTATGAAAAGAAATTAAAAATAGATACAAAATTAAACATGAAAAACGCGTAACTCTGCTGCCGGAATCTCTGTGCGTTACCGTTCTTTCTCTTTTCGTCTATCCTATAATTTTCGGAAAGAATATCGTAGAATCCTGGAAAGCGTCTTGTTTTGTAGAATGAAGTGCGTTCTTCAAAATCTACCACTAACTCAGTTCAAATATAATTGACGCTTTTTATGCTGTACTTAAAATACGAAGAGCCCCAAAAACATTGTCGTTTGTTTTTAGGGCTTTTAGTATTTCGATTGTAACCGAAAAGTCGTCAATTATTTCGAATTGAGCTAGTAGTGGATTTTGAAGAAC